AACATCATTTAATATTTTAAATATTTTAAAATGTTAATTATTGTAATATTTTAATATTTAATAAGAATTATTGTGATTAGACGGACAAGATTTAATATATACTTATTATATCACAATATGACGAAACTTTAAAATCTTATATTTTTATGTTGTTCCCTTGCGTGCTACATTCCCCGCCCGTCTAATTTTCCTTGATCTAATCATTGTGATAACGGTGAAGAATACAAACCATGAATATTTTTTTACACGTAACTGTCTCCATCTTAAAAAGAAATAAACAAAGAAAATTAAGAAATGGCGGTGATTATTAGAATAAGAATATTAATTAATGGTAAAACGCGACATTTAAAACATAGAACAGCTTCCAAGCTCACTGTGTCTTTGCGTTGTAAACCCGCTCGGTTGTCTGTACTTCAAAACAAATCACTGTAATGGTCTCCTTCCCTTAAAATCAGCAAACCGGTTCAGACGTCATTAGCTACAGTCAGCTGCTGATGCTACTCTCTCCGGAGCATTTCCTTTACGTTAATTCCGTCATCGAGTCAAACCCTGGTGGCCTAATCTACTGAGACGTCTCAAAATATCAAAATCCTTTCGCAGAAAATTCCGGTGATTTTAATTTATCAACAGGCACACAGAACCTAAGGCGTTTTATTCCACACAAAAAGAACGCCTAGCAATGGGTTTAAAAAAGATTGGGCCCCGAAAGATCGGGCATCGATTCCCGGCTGGGGGAATACATTTTCTTGCCTGTTGACAATAACCGTGTAGTATTTCCTCCTCTGTTAACACAGGGGAAAAAATGTCGAGAATCGAGTAGTGGCGCCTCACGAGGAACCCGAAGGCTTTCTGACCAGTGGCATTTATACTGCGTGTTCACACGTAAATTTAAATTAAGCTCCTTCACACACTGATAGGATAAACCAGTTTCAAAAATGTATCTCTGTACCTGAGTCTCTTGGTTGCAATGAATTCAATTGTGTTAATTTTTCAATAATTTTGTATCAGTTCTTGCTTTGGAGACGGAAACGTCGAATTTCTGGGCTGGTTTTCCCAGTGATGTTATGTTTTTAGTCAATACATATTTTCTTATCCAATACCGAACCATTAGATCTTAATTTAAAAACTAAATAATAAATAGTGAATTTGAAGTTGTGTAAACACGAAACATTTTTTTATGAAATTCTCTTCGATACAAACGAGAAGAATAGCTTTTTTACATAACTTCCGTACGTTAAAATGCGTCGTTCTAACAGTACACCATCTTGAATAGCACTTAAAATGCACTCAGCCTGGACACGTGAGTCACAGATAACAAGACTAGCGAGGAGAAGCCCACGTCTGATAGTGTCTGTGGCGGGTCGAGGTTACGTCATACGGTCCGAACATAAAACCACCGCCTGGTATAAATTTTGCATTGTCGCCATGTTGCTATTTTTACGCAAATAACAACATGTGACATAAATTTAAAAGTACTGGTGTTTTTCAAGCCTTGGTTGACTGACAGCGTTAAAATCTTATGAGGGCAATTTAACATCAAACTAAATTTAATAAACTGATTAAATACAAGAACTCAGAGACCGAACTTGATGTCTCTCAGTTCAAATGAACAAATTAGCGCGGAATCATGTCTACATCAGCCAACTACATTCGGAAGATTAGACCACACCCCACTCCAATCTCACTCTTATTTCATTTTACGATAAGTAACTTCTATATTTAATAGAGCATCTTTAAATAAACCAACTGGCAATTACAGATACAATACACAAAAATAAACAATTAACACGCGAAGCGCGTGTCAGATGATCGACAAGTCATGAACGAGGAGACAACAGCGAGCGAAGTAAAATCTCAGAAATTTCGAGTGCACACACGAATTTGTCGACGAAGGCAGAAAGTTTGTAGTTGTTGTAGCGTTAATAAGTCAAAACGCATACAGGCGTGAGGAACAAGGTCAAAGTTGACGAGATCAACATGACGTTGAGAACGAATTAAACGAAATTTAAGGCTTAGCGAAATTATGCCCCCCGGGGGGGATAAAGTCGAAATAATGAGAAAAGTCGTAATGTATAGTAAATTAAAACACTTCCGAAGAACTTTTAATAACAGCGATTGGTTTGCAATTACTGAAAAGGCCATCATGTTTTATTTTAAAAAAGCAGGGACTACTCTTTGCTTCCGTAAAGTAGAGGAACGTAGAGAAACTACGGTTAGAAATTAGCTTAAGAACAGAAATTACTATTTCAGAATAACCATTAATAACAAAACCATGAAAAGTCGCCAACTTTTGTAGTATTCTGAACATCAGAGCCTGAAATTACGACTAAAGATTGAGGGAGGAAAATGGTTGTCCAGCCTAAACTTCAGAAATAGATAATGTAATAATTACTATTAAATAAATTATTTTTACATTTTTTTAAGTTTTAAATTATTTATATTTATAAGATTTTTATAATCCTTCATCTAGACGTGTCACAGCTGCAAATGGCATATGCAGATTTTTTGGATATTTTCAGCTAAAGCCCTCAAGGACACCTTCTCCATGCGGGAAAATTATTAGATTGTTTACGTGTATTTAGGCCAATTTTTAATATACTATATATTTATTCACGTTTGCCTGTTGACAAAGGCTCTAATAAATGAACTTCAATTTTTTATTTTAAGAACGCGACTGTTTCACTTAATATGACATTACGTGCTTTAAAAGAAAATCCATTCCACAAAGCAGCGTCCATCTAAAGGCAGATAAATGGCACAGATAACACTTCAATTTGTGTTGCATAGTTTAATATTTCGCAACTGTTAAAAATACGGAATTGAAAATAACTGTTCGATCACATATCCTTACGCATATCCAAACACTAATGCAGATTTCAACAATCTTTCAGTCTCCCAAACTTCGTATTTTCACAAAACATCTGAAAAAATTAGAATACACAAATACATTCTGAAACTTTCTATGTAAGTTCTCCATTACGTGATCCGTTCACATTCCCCAGACACACAACTGACGTAGACTATTCCAGTTTAACTACACTTCAGCATTACCACCGTTTCTAAAATTAAATTAAGAAACTGTAACTGATTCTGCACCACAACAAATCACCTGAAAAAAAAAACGAACGAAGAGAGCAATGCCACGTATAATTATTAGTTTTCCTTGATTTACCTTAAAAAATAAGTTTATCGAGACACAAAAATATGTTTTTGAACCACAAGACATTTTTCTTATCATTCGACGAAAATCGCGGTAGACTTCGTAATCCGGAAGTCACGAGTCTATGCCCTAAATCCGTTTGTCTCTGTCGTTCATAAACCTAACCTACAACTGAACGATGTATAACAAAAGCAGTTTTTGAGGTTACGTTAAATAAGGCAAGGACCAATTAAACCATAGCATTCGCGGGCCACTGAGTTAAAGAAAGTCGCTGCGTGTGTGTGGGAAAGATTCTGAAATCGTGTCAGAGGGACACTGAAGATGGTTACAGCACCCCCCCACCCCCTTCCCCATCGAGCGACAGTGTGGCTATAATCAATCCAGTCCGTGGCCTTTTGACGATAGTGCCTTCACAGAGAGAGATGGGGTAACTACATCAGGTTTGGTCCTTGAAATCATTTAAGCTCGTCTAAATTCCCCTGGCCACACCCAGAATGGGACCCGAACACAGAACCACTGCTATTGATCATGAGAACAGATCAGATGTCGGCTACATTCATTAACACAACAAAACCAAAATGGAGGTGGAACTTTTCGCCACGTTTCTGCATCCCTCAGTGATCCACACAACTCGACAAAAACTTTCGATATTTAAACACTGATCTGTCACGATATCACCAACATATTCAGGAACGATGTTTGTTGATGACGTTTTGTTGTCGTGATACGAAACAAAACATTTATTAGGCTTTATAGACCGATCTTCAGTAACACATTCATGTAGACGAACACAATTTAATTTGAAACGATATCGTCCAATGACACACGGTTACTATATAAATCAAGTGATAATGAAAAGGATGAAATGAAACATGAACATCACTTCAGTTTATAGCATTTCTTAACAAAGATTCAATTAATAAGCTGGAGTAGTTGCAGGAACCAGCTACATCATTAAGGATTGTTTCTTAACAATGCCTCTCAATTCCAGACTCACCCCGGGCCGGACACCCTCCGTTGGAGGCTACGGACGGACATGTCACGTGATCTGGGATGTCGTGGTCTTCTCCAGGCAGGCCTGGCATCGCCTCACCCTAGTCCCCTCGAAGGTTGTCCCGTGGTGGCGCTGACGGCGGTACACACTTTACACAACACAACACACCACGACACCCTCCTCGCCACAACCGCTCCGATGCGAACATCCACTTCAGGACCACAGCAATCACAGTGGCGAGGGCGACCGGGACGCATGCGCGGCACCTCGTGACATAGCAACCGAATGCTGCCGAACATTTACGAAGTCAACTGGTGGTAGAAGCCACGGTATATGTACTGAGGTGTGAAGATAGTAAAAGAAATACGATTTGACTTTGTGTTCGTCGTGAAACACGTTTTCACTTCTTTTACTATCCAAGACATTGCCTTCTTTGAGAGATCATCAGCTGAACAGCAGGCTAAGAAAATGTTTATTAAACCCGAAGGTTCATCATCCTCCCTCCCCTTTGAGAGGTCGCTAACCTCATTCAATTCAGCTCGGTACACCCAAACAGTTTCATACCTTCATAATTGCTTGTGCCTAGTTGAAATGGGCGCGGACCTCGCAGAGAACTTAAAAATTACGTAAAATATACCACTGTTAAGATGTTTTGTTCTTTTGTCGTGTCATGTTTCGAAGAAGGGGGTAAAATAAAGGTTAATTTGAGAGGGGGGGGGAGTTTCACACCCACAGAACAAGGAGCTGTAGACCCATTTCTAAGCGTACTTCCCTACGGCACATATTTCTAATCCTACAAAGCTTGTGATACTAATTAAGCACAAAGGCAACTCAGCTTTTCGCAAAGCACAAATCTTCACACTCACGTAGGATTCGTCTTGCCTCTTGTACAACGTTTTAATTACACAGCCACTTTTTCATAACAGCTTTATCAGAAAACCAATTTTAACTAGTTCCTCTTTCATCTGAGCACGCAAGGCGCTGTCTGAACAGCAATTTCATTTTCCCTTTGTTTAACTTATTAAGGCTTATTCTCAGTTGCGTAGTTTATAAATTATGAATCAGAAATGACATACAATTAAGTGGCCGTGTAATCTGGCAGAACTTTACAGACGTTTCAGAGGTCCTTTCTACCTCCATCATCAGGACGATGACTTACCACACGGTACTACAACCCACAAGACAGCCATTTTGAGACTCATCGCCGTGAAGACCTCAAATCGTACATAATATCCCAACGTTTTTTTTTTTTCTGGAGGGACCGATAGAAATCACGAAAATATTCAGGATAGCGGGCTTCACGTGATAAGAGTCGAATATGGGACCTCGAAGATATGAAGGAAAGCCAACCACTGGACTGGAAAATTGCGTATAAACATGTTACGTTGTTTCCAGCGCTGTGCAGCCTTCGTTACGCGTCGACCGCTGTTCCAACGAATATCCCTACGCCCTGCAGGTCTCGAACGATTCATCGAAGCTCACGGTCAGTGCAGCCAACTGACGAAATATCGGTTTCAAGATAAGGCAGCTCTGACGATAAAATTTCCCATCCTTTATAACCTAACCAACTTGAATCCATTTTACATTCTCGCTGATTTCCTCATTCCATTTTAATATTATCATCCCAGCTATGTCCTGGTTCTCCAAGTTTTCAGAGCAGAATTGTATACGCATTTCTCTTCTCACATACGCGTGGTACACATTCGCCCATCTCATCTTCCTTTATTTGATGATCATAATAATAATCATCAATATGGTGTAAGACTGAACTCATCTGGCTCAGAATATGATCCAATAGCTTACCATTGTCAACATGGTAATGAACCATCGGATTCCACAAAAGGTACGGAATTTTACTAGCTGAGCTTCTCATGGAAAATTAGGGTTATTACTCAAGCATGAGCATTGTAAAGGGTTAAAAAATAGTCTGTTCTTGAAATTACCTTGGCGTTTATATATGAAGACGGCTCAGGAATACAGATGAGGAGGTTTGGCCATTGTACTGTGCCAATTCGCAGTCCGGGCTCCACTGTTCTCAAACATCTGATACCACACATAACCTACCTCTGTGCTACCCCCAGGCGCTGGAAAGAACATTCATCACGTAAGGACTGTTGCCTCTTACCACATTAACCCTTCAGCTGAGGTATTTAACCTAACCTCTCCTAACCTAAACATTTGCAGATGAGTATATTTCGTAATAAAGCATAGTCGATAAGCTTTTGTTTATGACAAGAGTGAACAGAAGTTGGAGACAGAGAATGCAAACTACAGAATCATCTCTTGAATTTTCTCTCAGATAATAGCCATTAAAGAATTTGGCTGTTTAATAAATAAAACATTTTTATTGTATAACCTTTACACATCATTGCTTAATCAGATCTAAAAAAAATTCCAATTGCCACATACAAAAACTGGTATGATAATTTTCTTTAAAAAAGGTTTCACTTTTAATGCCTTGTGCAAGGCAGCCATGTTGGAAAACTCAACTTCCTTGAAAAAGCAACAGAATTTTGAAGTGGAAATGGCTATATTGGACATCACGTCATAGTATCGTAAAAGATGCGCAAGGTATGGATGCAAGAAACACCTTGAAATTGCATATAAAGTAACTGGTTCTAACTACTTTAAAGTCATAACAATTCTTCAAGAACAAAAAATACCATGTTCTATGAGAAAAAACAAGATTCTATTCACATTTCTGTTTTGAAAACTGACACAAAAAAAATTTAAAAAAATAAATTTACTATACCAATTTTGGGGACAAAATTAAACATATCTTGCACCCCTATTTTCTACATTTCAAGCCAGCACAACATCAAAATATGAGGATGGCTGAATTCTGGGTCGTAGCACTGAACAGTGCGCACCTTGTCGTGGTGGTGGGGCTTGACCCCAAGAGCTACTGGTAGGGCCTCCCTAGGGGGAGAGGTCAGACTAAGACAGGTACCCTGGTCCTCCAGGTTGGGGGTTGGTCGCAAGGCTAACAACCTTGCGCTGTAAAAAGGAAGATGTTTCGAGACCTCGATCAAAGCCTCGGACAGACGGACTGAATGGAAGAGGAGAATTGTGGAGGCCATGGACCGAATACGGACCGGAGAGCCATAGAAGAAGAAGAAGAAGAAGCTCCGAACAGTGCCAAAGAAGTTTAATGTTTCTGAGCTGCTTACTGCCTCCGTCATCATTACCCTGATGATGAAAGCAGCAAGAACCTCTAAAGCATCAGTAAATGTATACAAAACTGCTCAGTGCTACAATCCAGCAGACGCCCATCTTCATAATTGCCCCTGAGAACCTAAAACTCTACTTAACATTAAATTACATTGGCTCTTTAAATGGACTAATGTACTGACTGGTTATTCGGTTATTTATTAATTCTATTTCTACTGAACAGAATACACAGGCTTAAAACCTTGCAGTGTTTTCTAAAAATATAAAATCGTGGACACAACGCAACCACGAAGACCAACAACGGAAACCTCAACTTAGGCCAGCAGACATAACTCAATTTAGATAATACACCAACTCTCGCGTGATATTACATAAAATATAGTTTTATAAAGTGCGACCTTTTACGCTTTATAACAAACCGTCGTCTTATGAATCGTATGATTTAATATGAATTAATTTCTTTGCCACTGATGATGACCCTTTGAGGTCAAAACGCGTTTGGCACTGACAGTCTTTTCAAAGTGTAAAAAGTTTTGTTTGTACGCATGATTTTATATATTTAGAATACACAGGGTCGAATAACTATGAACGACGAGTCTGAGAGACGCGGAACTGGTCTTGACGTATGTTAAGGTACTATCCCGGCACTTGCAAAGACGGACCGAGGAAAAACGAAAAACAGAATAGCTGATCCCTGGACAGACATTCAAATTCAAGACAGCCCCCGCAATATGAAGCAGGAGTATTCAGTTAGGGCTGAGAGTCTAGAAACACTTCTTCCTCTTATGGGAATAGTGTCAGAAATTACTAGACACCATGTATCAATCAAACCACGACGTCTCCCCTTCCCTTTTCATGTTCGATATGGTGACTTGTAACAGCGTATTTCGGATATTTTACGAATTGTTCTTACCACGATTAAATCCAAAGTATTTCTCAGTAAATCCATAGCACGTGTCTTAATAAACTGAATGTTATCTCAGTAAATTTCTGTATTTACTTTTAACATACATAAATAAGAATATAATCCATTAGTTACGTTCACATTGCACGTTTATGGAGACTAGAGTTTACACATCCAGAAGCTACTACTTACAAACACAAATGAACTGCTAAACATTTTACTGTGACCAGTTTCGCCATACATATGACACGACCTCTGCAAAGAGGCACAAAAATATGAAGACAAAGCATCGCCCCCCCCCCCATTTTAAAAATGTTATAACTGCAAGAACAGATTAAGTCACGTTCTGAAGCTATAAGATGATATATTTTCAATGTCTGCCATCTTTAAACCAATAAGCACAAAGGAAAAATGACAAAAAATTAAACGTGCACAGACGACGCTCAAATGAGGGTGCACTTCCAATCGCCGGGAACAACACAACATACACAACGCTGGTACATTGGTTTTGGTGGAAGCAAATTGAGGTCGTCTTCATCTGGTGACACTTCAAAGTCCTCTATGCTGAAAGTGTCCGTCAGTTCCTGCTTGCCGTCTTTCATTCTCGACAACGGGAAGAAATTTATATCCTCATCACTGTGAAGTAAAATTTAAATTATACATATATACTATAAAAACATAACGTGAAACTTTAAGAGAATAACAGCCCAATTATTTATAGCGAATACTGAACTGCTCGAGAAAGGAAATGGAATTAAAAACAGCAAGACATTGACCTCAGATATCTGCACCAAAAGGAGAGATGACGGCGTTAATATAAATCTGTTGGTAAACATTCCGCTTATTAACCATTTACTGTACCTGGGACAAAACTGTGCACTTTATCTACGTCACTGGGTTTCGGGGAGAACAAAAACCTACACACATACTATGTAAACCAGACACATTGCTGACGTAGGCATTGATACATCAAGCTGCAAAGTGCTGCCGCTGGGAAATAATGTTTATAGTACAGACAGTATATGCTTCCTCACCTGCTACCCCTCCCAACCCCAATGATCCGTTGCCTTGTACTTCTAATGGACCTTGAACGTACATATCTGTCCCGACTACAGTACCATGAGATTTAATGATGTAGTACCTAACAGGATTTTTACTGTATAAAGTGAAGCTTTCGCGGAAACTAAAGTTGATGAAAGACTCTCGGGTTACAAGCCGCGTCAGGTGTCTGAATGGTGAATAAACCATTACTTCTGCCAACGTTTCGAGAACAATCTCTACTCTCATCCTCAGTGTAACAAATCTGATCCTTTGTAGCATGCTCGTCAATGAGAAATGGCCAGTTCCCATTGGCGAGTGCGCTACAAAGGATCAGATTTGTTACACACCGCCAGTTCCCATAGGTGAGCGCGCTACAAAGGATCAGATTTGTTACATCGCCAGTTCCCATCTGCGAGTGAGCTACAGAGGAACAGATTTGTTACACAGTAGCCGAGGATGAGAGCACAGGCGCGGCTTGTAACCCGAGTCTTTCATCAGGATTTTTCTGTTACCACTAAATTCGTGACTGACATAGTAATCTCTTTGTGAAGTACATACTTGCCAAGCAACAAAATATTGTTCACACAACTTGCTTTATGCACCTTAAATACCATTCATAATAACCTAATCTAACTGAACCGGGGGCAGAAAAACCAAAAAATTAGTTTGTTTAGAAGATCTCAAAAAGAAGATGACCAGGTCAAAATACTTCATTTGGTAGCCGTGATTTTATTTCCCAGTTACATTTTAAAGAAATTTCATGAATCTACACCGAATGATGCTAGAAATTTCTGCATAGCCGCCATGTTTGTATTACTGATGGCAGTTAATAAATGCCAAGCTTGGCAGACCTCCCACAACTTGCCGTTCACACTAACGAACGCAGAAATCAATCACAGAGTATGCATAATATTGATAGGTGTAGCTGTAAGGGTATGGACAGACCACAGAGCTCACAAATTGGGTCCCAAAAATAAATTCGGTTCTTCTATAACTCCAAAAAAGAGTGTGCACCTTTCATCGGTCTCCCAGTCCACCAACGGCTGCTGTTCACGGTGAGCACTCGTCACAGCTTTACTTGGAATAGGAAGTCTCTGAATTGGAATAAGGGTAGAGTTCTTCTTGTATTCCTGAATCCTCTGGATCTTCTTTGCTTGTTCTATCCTTTGTTCTGAAATTTGTGATAATACTAACATTAAAAAACATAATTCGTAGCTCACACAGGGCAGAAAGTACAGAAAAGTGGTCTATTCCAAAAAGCAACATGCTGGACTCTTAGCAAACACGGGCAAGGCACAAAAAATGTTTCTCTACATAAGAAAAACATAAAACTAGATGTTGTTAACACAAAGTGCTGATACACATTCATTTCTAGTAGTGTCAAAGTGTACCAACAGATGGTTATGCTAATAACAACGCAAAGTAACAAAGCATAAAGCCAATGTTTTCAAAATGTACAAAATATGCCCATCTTTGGTCATCGTCAATTATATGTAGCACTGTTAGAGGCAGCCTTCTAGAGATGAAAAATTAAAGTAACTGGAGAAAAACGTAAGAACGAATTATAAACACTCTACACCGTCAAGTTCTCAATCAACTATGATTCTCAAAATAAAAATAAGTCTATTAATTGTCCTTATTTCCTGTTGAGTTCCATAATTATTTCATCCTTCAAATGATGAGAAGAAAGAATGACAAAAAAGGGCATAAAACTTGAGAAAAGAGTGGGAACCACCCAATGGGGTCGGCAAGCAAAGGAAGCGACAGCAATACACCAAAAAGTAATGCAGAAATATCCCATTACTTTATCGCAGCCAACAGCCAGTGAGGATTGAAGTGAAAAAGCAGAAAATGGAAAGACAGTACAGATACAACTTTACTGTGAAACACTTGTCATTACCATGAGACTTGTGTAAAGTAACGCTGTTCCACTATACGCCATGTAGGCACTTGAGGGGAGTGGCGGTATAGCTCCTACTCATTCTTGACCTCGGCACTAGATGGGGGTGTGTGGTCAGCATCACGCCCCAGCCATGCTTTACTCCCAGGAAAAGACCCCGGTACCCACTGGATAGGAGGCTGGGTGGGCCCCAGAGCCAGTCTGGACACAGAGGCTAGAGGAAAAATCCTCTGCCCCCCGTCGGGGATCGAACCCCGGTTGCCCAGTCCATAGCCAGTCACTATACCGACTGAGCTACGCCGGATGAGACTGGTGTACATTCATACAAAGGTTTCGCAAAAAATCCTGAAGAAAGAGTATTAACGGGACCCAGTAAAAATAAGTACTGGATTCATCTGGCTAAGGATACAGATCAGAGGCTAGCTCTTATGAGCACGGTAATTAACCTTCAACTTCCATGTCAGAGATTTTTTGGCCAGCTGAGTGACTATCAGTTTATCAAAGTACTTTGCTCTGTGACCCAAACAATTTGACATCTCACAGCCATCAGAGTATTCAAACACATTCTTTATCCATGGGAAAAAAATCATATGCTAGCGGTTTGTTCTTAAACGTGTAGAATCGAAGGGAACGCGAAAGAACTGAATATGGACATGCAGTCCTTTTAATGCGTTGAGTTTGGTTCTGATTACTCAGCAATATTCTCCCAATAACTTTAACAGAAAATCTATGATATTATAACATGTAAACAGTTTGTTTGAGACACAAATGTGAAGTCAATAAAGCGATGAGCAGAGACGGTTTAATTTTGAAGATGATCACTGGATTTTCCTCATCACGTCTGTAATAATTCTGAAACCTCATATCCAATAACTACCTGCAGCTACTGGACTGAAACTAAGGACAGGTGGAGTACGAAGCTGATCACTAAACTAAATCTAAAGCTCTAGTTAAGAATCCACACACATCTAAGCACGGTGAAAGCTTCCGCATGATTTATGATATAGCTTCTTCCGGATTGTAACACCATGTAGTCTGGTAGAGATTTACCAACGTTTCAGAGGTCCTTGCTGCCTCCAACAGGGCAATCACCCTGGTGATGGAGGCAGCAAGGACCTCTGAAACATTGCCAAATCTCTACCAGACTACAAGGTGCTAAGGCCCTGAAAACAACCATCTTAAGCCCCAAGAACCTACGATAATGACACTGACAACAAATAAGCAGACATGCAGATTACAATTCAAGGTCAGATGACTAGTTTATACTTAAGGACAAGAATGAAGCCAAATGGTGACAATATCTGGTTACATTTTCAAATTTAAGGTTACATAAAAATAGTATATTTTACAGGAAATGGGCTAGTACTGACAGATATCTGAGCTATGAAACAACTCTACAACTTTTCATTCATAATCAGAATCAGTCACACGACATGCCATAAACAAACAAACACCTGTTTCCGTTACTTACCGGGGTTTTACAGTCATTAGCCTGGGTATCCTCCTCATTAAACAGATTAACTTAAAGACATACCTCGAGTCCGGTCCATTTCTGACATCGGAGCAAGCTCAGTTTTCTAAAAGTTTCTGACAACTTTCTTTATGCAAGTCACTTGTATTAAGATTCCTTACAAATATAATTATGATTTAAATATTCTACTTAAAATGCAAAGCTCAAAATTTGCACAAAACATCACCACAACATTGGTTCTGCCTAACTGCTGAACAAAATAACAATCATATTTCATGTGAATATTCATTATGAAAAGACAACTAACTCCTTAGTAGGGTTCACCCACCAAAAAAATCCCCTGAAAACTGATCATCAAAATAAGCCTGCCAACAGATTCTAACCTATATCATTTCAATTCAAAATACATGCTTCTCTAAATGTCACTTTAATATTATCCTGTAACACACACAGATCATTCGAGTCGTTCATATGCTCGAACTATACAAAAGCTCCAAATGTAAGCATGACAACGATAACAAACGGACGTGTCACCTTCACACAAGAACCGTACCAAGCTTTCTATGTAGCTGTCTGACATTAGTCTTCTGAGGAGAGGCGGCAGTTGTACTGCTGCATGAGCTGTCACTCGCCTACAAGAAGACAATCAGTATCTAAACTTTTTAGTAATATCGGCGTCTAGTGTTCTAACACACAACTGAAGAGCATGCATCATCAACATGTAAAATCACATGAACTCAAAAGTTTTGGAGAATCTCAAAATCTCCGCCTTCCATTTTCATGTTTTAACACCTCTGTAATTCTCCGCCTTCCACCATTTTCATGTTTTAACACCTCTGTAACTAGGCACATGGTCCTGACCGAACACCTAAGAAAATAAAATGTAATATTAAATTAATTCAAATGTTCGATTAAGGGGTTTTGCAATAACACAACTGTAAAATTGTATTCCTTCTTCACAATCCTCTCCAATCCCCACAGAGCCAACATTTGGTGTGCGCACGCACGTGTGTGTTTAGAGGTGCCTGTGTCAACTTCTATGGCTATCTGCACTACAAACAGCATCACATCATCAGCCATTTAAATTGCACGTCGGAGTATCAGCACCTGGATTAATCCAACAGCATTTTGTTTCCTTCTTACATACTTTTCACCCTTGCCTCACTAACTGCACGAAGAACAGAGCCATAAAAAAAACAAATCTCCACCTACTGCCTGCCATAAAGTTTCCTCAAGATCATTCCTTACTTCAAGCGGACATTGACTCACTTATGCACGGTGAACCAGAAGAAGCTTAATATTAGTGAAAACAATGTTAATTCCTTTTACTAGTAAAATAAATATGACTGCTTTGTGAATCTTGTATCAATTCTACAGACCTGAGGGTTTTTCTTAATAACTAAAGTAAAGTTGTCCCAGTATACACCATGTAGGCACTTAGGGGGAGAGGTGGTACAGCTCTTGCTCATTCTTGACTTTGGCACTAGAGGGGGCTGAGCGGTCTGCATGATTTACATCACCTAAATTTCCATACCTCAAGGATTGAAAGACGCCACCTGATGCGATTTTTTATTATTGTTTATAATGGTTTTAAATGTGTCCTTCCTTAAATGAAACTGTTGGCATTCATATTCCTACATAAAATTTATAGATGTTCCTTTCTTCATTGTCGGTTCCTCACATAAATCTTATCCCTCTGCTAAATGTGCATCAGCCATCAATTCCATTTATAAATATACTGACATATTTAGTAAAAATTTGGCTTACTTAATTATCCTTTAAAGTAACTACACATATCAAGTGTTAGTTGAATAATTAAGTTATTTATTGTCTCGGGGTCCGCAGTGGCCGAGCGGTCTGAGGCGTGGGCCTTCTGCCGCTTGGTCGCTGGGACCGTGGGTTCGAATCCCACCCAAGCCATGGATGTCTGCCCGCATTTTTCTGTGTTGTGCTGTCCTGTGTACAGGTAGAGGCCTTGCGACGGGCCGATCCCTCGTCCAAGGAGTCCTACCGAATGTCTATAGATCAAACCCAACGAAAAAGTTGGGACCCGCAGTGCTCAGGCACTTGAAGAACGGGTCATTCCCAGTTTCCCAGTACCAGTATTTATTGTCATTGTGCTGTATGAGAGACATTTGAAAGTAATTTTAATTTCTTAGAATTATAACCTCATGTTATATGGAAATTCTTATGAGCTAAAAAAATTGGTACTTTAGCTGCAAACAAGTATAAGAGGTGCTGTGGTAAAATTTGTAGTCATCTGGGTACTGAATTTGTTAAGAAGCTCGGTAATGAAACTGAAGTAGAAAGCGCATTTGGCCAGATCATTATAGGTCTGAAGTACCATTTTAGACTTTGATTTTATTAAGAATTCTCTAAACCAAATCACATCAAAATCTGTTAAAATACAACTTAAATCGTACACACCAACCACCAAAGTAAAAATACATAGTGGTACATCAAAATACCCATTACAAACCAAAATTACATCACATCTCTATAATTTGGTGCCACCAATATTAAAATTCATAATAATCAGTTAAGATAAAATTTTGGATGCATGCAATCAGTGGCAAAGAAATACACTTCTCCATAATTTAAAGAGAGATAAATGACCCAATTCTTAGGTCATGTACGTAAACTACTTTGATGGGTACAGAACATGCTCCTATTTGGGCAACATTAGCTACTTTGACAGCTTTGAAATGTCGATGAATAAAAGCGTGTTTTATAATATACTGGGCAAACAGATCTGATATGCCCAAATGCGTATGAAAGTTCTGCGATTACTTTGAGAAAATAATTAACTCTTTTTAAATTAACTGATATACCAGTGAGTTAATGGAACTTTTTAAGGTTACAGAGTGCCAAGTCACATGAATTCAACCTCAACCCATACAAGAAGTCCACAAAAAGTTCAGATACAAATCCAAACTATTCACACAACACTAATGCACATCTTAGTAAGACACAATCATGAGAAATCTCAAGTTACTGGACAAATGCAACAACAAACAGTGCCCTTACCGTGAACAGTCTCCCATCCTCTTGGATGTGCTGCTGTTTCTGATCACTGTCAATGCCACTGTCCTCCATCTGAAAATTCTCCTTTTCACCAGAATTCCAGAGACAGTTACTGTTCTCCACACCAATCATTCCTGCCATCAAGCATATTCCCTGCAAACCAACCACAACGGGCAATATCAGTCCCTCTAAGAGACCCTCCTACACCCACGATACAGAACAACAGACAATACCGATTCCACAACTGAAATGTGAAATGGAAGTCGGCGCAATAGTTTTTGGCCAGTGGAAAAGCTGGCGGGCGGGCCTACTCTGTGTACCTGAGGTGGCACGGTCAGTGCATTTCTTTTGTTTGGGCGTTCAGCTCCTCGGTGCAGTCAGCATTATAGGATCGCACAAGTGACTAGCTCCTAGCCTTCCCCTTGAAAATTCCAAGCTGGCGGGCGGGCCTACTCTGTGTACCTGAGGTGGCACGGTCAGTGCATTTCTTTTGTTTGGGCGTTCAGCTCCTCGGTGCAGTCAGCATTATACAGTCTCACAAGAGACTCGCTCCATTCTACTTGTTCGATAGTTCCCCACTTTGACTACTAGATCGCAGCACCTCAGAGTTAAATGTACCGCAAGACATAAAAAGTTTATTCTGTGGGTTACTTGATGATGCAAATTCAACTGCAGCTGTTATTTAGTATCACACAAGATGTAAAAATTGTGGTAATGATTTATGTTGAATCAGAAGGGACTATGGTGAAAGCATAAATCAAGAATGTGTGTTTACAACTTTCAACTGCTAATTCAAGAGTGTTATTACTACTGCTAGTAATAAACAGAAATAAATAAATAAAAGCAGTCTGGAAAACAGTAAAAAAGGAAACAGAGAAATATTCTACAGAAGTGACCCCATTAATAGAGATGAATTATAAGCAATAAAGAATCCTAAACTCTTAGCAAATCATTTAAATGCTTACTTCTTAACAATTATATAAGAACGAACAATGACAATACAACCATAACAACAGAAGACACAACAAAGTACCTTGTAGGATTTGAGGTTTTCACGGCAGTGAGTCTGACGATTGCTGTCTTCCGGGTTGTTGCGCCGTGTAGTCTGGTAGAGGTCCTTGCTGCCTCCATCATGAGGGCGATGATGGAGATAGCAAGGACATCTGAAACGTTGGTAGAAATCTACCAGACTACACGGCACAACAACCCGGAAGACAGCAATCAACAAAGTACCTTACTCAAGCAAACACAATTCTTACGGTCATAACAGTAAAAGAAATTAAAAGTATAATAAATTCTCTCAAATCGAAGAACTCATGTGGTTAAAACAAAATACCAACAACTTTACTCAAAAGCTGTGCAGATTACATTACTATTCCTTTAAATAATCAATCAATGGCAGTCACTATAAAGACTGAGCTACGCCAGCTCCTATTAAAGAAGAAAGAAAATTTCTTGGCCTCCAAATTGACAGTAACTTAAATCAGAAAACACATATTCAATTCATTATACTAAACTACACTCAGCATGCTTTGCTATGACGGCTATCACATTACTCATGAAAACATTCCACCCACTTTAAAAAGTCTGAATCACAATATAAAGAAGTGTGAAAAATACAGTTTTTAGTGAATGTGGAAAGAAAGAAAGAAAGCACCACCCCTTTAGGGCAGATGATGATGAATAAGTGAGGTTTAACTGTTGTATGTAGCATTTTTGGTCCATTATATTTTAAAGACTATGGAAATAATACAAAACATGCAAAATTCCCCTGCGGAATGAATAAAAAGCTGTTGAAATCTCAAAATGAATAATCTGAAGATGCAGAACATACCTCAGATCAGTACTGATACATTACAACATGGAACAGAACATGACCTAAGAATAATCAATACTGTTCAGTAATAAAACACTATACTGTATGCATTAAACCAATTTAAAACATCGGACTACACACAGTTTTAAAAAGGTCAACCATATAAAGAACATGTACATTTTTAAATTCGCAATGCACATTGTTATCACGAAGTCATTATGCCTGTGCATTGATGTAAATTGAATGCAAAGTATAGTTATGGTCAAATCAAAGGCACGAAATCAACAGGTGTAATAAAAATGTCAGTTTACAATAAACAAAACGTGTGGGAACCAGATTCTAGACTCAATCCATGACTCACAAGACATGAGCTCTACGTGGATTTTAAAAACGTATATACACGTAAGCAATAATGGTGATTTATTGTGATTATTTTTGATGTAATGCTATATCTGACTGTAAATCACAGCCATAACTATGCAATTTATAATTGCATTCGAAAAAAATACTGTACTTGTTCTATGACATGTTCTACATCCTTGGTTTAGGCCTACGAAACATGTATGGAATGTAAATAAATTCAATTATATTCTATTCCGTACTTCACACATTCTTACCTACGGTGTACCTCACAAACGGTAAAACAGCTGACATAAGCTACATTTTACGAAAACTTACACATCATATATTAAAATAAAATCACAAACAAAAGCTGACATATTCTAAATCAGATTATTTCCATTCTCACAGTATCTACCACAGAATACAACAAAGTTCTCTCTGATCACTCATTCACGGTCGGAAAGAAAATCATTGGTAGCAATGGGTACGAACAAACACAGAAACAAAACTGATTTGCAAGTTAGTGCTAAAAGTTGGCAACGCACGTAGCACAGCAGACGACACGTCATATCGATGATATATTCTGCCACCTACTCTCCTCCAAAGATAACACAACGCACAAATTCCGGGAACGGTGTACAGTTGGTAAAATAGGCATCCTGTTATGGCACGTACAAATTAATCGCTTGAATGAATCACAAGTGGAAAAGATGACCATAGATTATATTGCTGTTTCACAGTCTTCTAGCTCGACGGACTAAGGTACTTCAAACGGCCTGTTTCTGTGCAGGGTGTTCAGACCTGTCGTGGAGGTAGAGATCCAAGTGAATGGACTTCCTATATACCGTGTCCCAGGACACCATCTGCTCTCCTGCTTATCAGAACGTCTAAGATCGGCAGTGTTCCGTTTAAACGTTGTAAACGTGATGTTTGGGTGGATATTGTTGAGGTGTTTCAGAAAGACCCATAGCACATCCTGTCTGCACTGCCACATCACACCACATACAGGTTTGCCACGACTGGGACCAGAGGAGATCCCACGACGACCGTCCTTCTGGTCATAGAACGAGCCGTCGTATGGGAAATGTGTGGTGGTGAGCACATGTCTGATGAGCTCAACAGTCTCTTTATCAAAGTGCTCTGACATGAGGGCAACTGCAAGGTCGGAAGGTGTTGGATGGCGCGTTCCACTCCACTAATGAAGTCCTTGAGGTTTGCCTTCAGACCCAATGTTTGTGCGAAGTTTAAGCCTCTGCTTAAAATACCTGCTGTAGTAACCTGAAAGTCTTTCATCAACTTCAGTTGCCGCAAAAGTTTTACTTTATACATGTGGATCTTCTTTCTGAGGTTCGTGTCATAACGGCAAAGCTGCTTCTGCTCATCACAGTAAATGTCAAAACATGCCTCACTACTGTGCTCCTTGCAAGCAAACCTAAAAAGCTCAAGTATGATAATATCAAGCTGGCTAATGATGAAAATAAAAACATGTGCTTTAATATTTTACCCAGATGTACATTTACAAAGTAGCCCACTCTACAGAGAGAAAAAAAGGCTACATTATGATTTATTGACAGTAAAGCTGCCAAACTGATCATATGCAATAGGAAGGCACCACAAATACATTTATACAAACAAACACTTCAATATCATGGTTTTTCTTTTACATCAATATATTCATTACAATAAAATAATAGTCATGGTTACATGAAGTAGGTCACAATCTATTTTACATACAAAATATTTCAGTACTCAAGCAAATATGTTAAGATATTTAATGCTAATATAATATTTGGTATTTCGTAAGAGCCTAAAACCTAAAGTAATTGATTGTGTGAGGTTATGTTTGTATTTCCTTCTGATTACAGGACTGGAGCAAGGCATGGAATTTCACCAATCATACATCATCAAATGTTAAGGTTATTACAGAATAACCACGGATAGCATTTGCATTCAACAGCAGCAAATTGTCCTGAAGTGACTTGCCACTCTCATTCAAATATACAAAGCTCACTTCTTTACAGCATTAGCAGCAAAAACTTGTATAAAACAGCAGGTGGTCATTTCCTATCACCAATGCTGCTATCTAGTGGACTATCTGTCTACTGCATGTGAATTAGTTTCCACACTGATGGATGTTTACCTGCCATGCAACTTTTTTGTGCGCCAAAAACTAATTTTTTAGCATCTCTGAAAAGTGTGCAGATATTTTGCAATTTTCATCTGGAAGATATTTAACATAACGAGTGTAACAAAAACTGATTAACCCTTAACTGGCGACTTGCAGTCCTCAGAACAAATTACATCTTACTTTTTTTTCAAGATCATGGCTTGCAGTGGTCTCTTAATCCCATTCTTTCTTACTTTCGCTTATATGTCTACTCATATTTCTTTCCATTCCTCCATCATTTGATACAGACTGTACCTGGAAATTTAGTCTGGCGAAGGAGACCACACGTTACTAGTTTTAGGGTGGGCATGGAGACTTCAAAGTGGGTTACAATTCGTGATCCCAATTTTGAAGAAGTGCTTGGGGTCCTGCATGAAGGTTTCAGTGATGATGACAGTGAAAGTGAGCACAATTTAAAGTAACCATAACATGAAATCTGGAATGAACACAAGACACATTCTTCCTCTTGCTTGTTTGTGAAGATTGGGAAGAAAGATGCCGACTTGACAGTCTATAATCATTTTGATTTGTCCCTTGAAAGGACCAAAAATATTATGAAAGCAGAGCATGCTGAGCAGCGAGATGCCTTCATAGAAAAGGCTGAAGAAGTGAGGAGGAAGATAATTAAGTTACATGAATCAAAAAAAGTAAAAAAAGTAACCAAGAAGTTTACCCACCGCAGATTTTCACCCAAGCATTTCAATTCATTCTTCGTGTGTTATACCAGAACACAATGAAAGTATCACAATTTGAAACTTTGTCCAGATTTTTTTAATGACAAAATAAAATAAATTTCTAATTTTGTGTTTATCTTTGCGCTAAACCCACACTCATTTTTTAACATCCAGAAAAGGTGCAAAATAGTTTCTTTTAAATACATTTTTGTGATACATATGCCATGTGAGAGACATCGTCTTAGATTTAAAATTTTCTTGCATGCCGAGTAAATCTGAGGCCAGATAGGATTATCAAAACTCGAGCAGTCTCTCATATCTCATGCCACTGTTTGCGCTACAGAAAACCCATGTCACCAGTTAACAGTTGAACAGGAGATAGTAAAACATGTACGTGCTATTACAGGTTTCTTGTCCTGATACATAACGGCCCAACAACTGGTCACATATTTAAACTAGAATTTTCACTGCTTGGCCATTGGTTGATGTCACACAAAATGCAAAAGGCTTAGTTATTAAAAACAATTACTTCACCATAAAACATGGAGATGTTAATAATATCAATGAGGGAGACAAGGAAAGCTACATGCCACCCCCCCCCCCCCCCAAAAAAAAATTCTCACGCGTAATTTTCTACTCTGACTTCCTGGTCTAAATACGTATTAGGCGTCAGTTTCTTCGCTGTTTGCATCGTCTCGTGAGAGGGCAGTTACGTCAACAGCGGAAGAGTGTTTGCCTACGTTGCGGTCGACCTGGGTTCGATTCGGCAGACTGTCAGAAAAATATATGTTCAATGACTCTAAAAAAAGAACCCGAAACATTCACTGATATATAAAAATATCTATGCCATGCTTGATAAACAAGGTCTACATAAGCATTTTTAATGCGAATGAGACAGCTGCTGGGACCAATCCAACCTAAAGAAACAAAACTTCCTTGTAAACAGGAAGATTTACATCAGCGGAGCAAGGTCAAAATATGAGTCCCTACGCAGAATATAGTGGGACTTGGTTTTGCCATGGCAAAGGATGACACGTGGTTGACCGATGATGCGCCTCACAGAATTTTTACATTTAAAATGAATAGATTGTTATCGTTGCAATGGAACGGCAGCTGCCGAGGGGCCCACTGCCTATACCCCAGACATTTGTTTAAATATGAATATGATAATGGGGGCAAATGGTGGAACTCGGAGAAAAACCAGTCTCAGTGCCCCTTTTCCACTCTAAATCCCGCTGAATTGCCCTGGGTGCAAACCTTGCTGCAACAGCCAGGAATTGCCGTATTTACTCATGTACCCCACTAACACTTTCTCGAAAATAATTTACCTGTAAAATGGAGTGTGTGGCTTATGCAAAAATGAGTCATTGAACTGTATCTCTCTACCTGCTCCTTGCCCTTTAAAAGCAGGGTTGACCATTACCTGCTTCAGATATTATTTTAAAAATGAGTATGAGATTATGGTCTTTCTTCACGGGGAGTTCCGATGGTCGAGGAAATCGGAAATTGGGCTGCTGGCAGAAGGTTCGAGGCACGTATAAGAAGAGACTGGAGTAAGAAGAGAGACTACAGGTAATAAGAGCCTTCAACATGTACCCCACTAACACTTTCTCGAAAATAATTTACCTGTAAAATGGAGTGTGTGGCTTATGCAAAAATGAGTCATTGAACTGTATCTCTCTACCTGCTCCTTGCCCTTTAAAAGCAGGGTTGACCATTACCTGCTTCAGATATTATTTTAAAAATGAGTATGAGATTATGGTCTTTCTTCACGGGGAGTTCCGATGGTCGAGGAAATCGGAAATTGGGCTGCTGGCAGAAGGTTCGAGGCACGTATAAGAAGAGACTGGAGTAAGAAGAGAGACTACAGGTAATAAGAGCCTTCAAAAGATCCAAACTGAAGTTTGAGGTTATTGATGAGGAGCTAGCGAGCATTATTTGCGAGAAGCAGCAGTTCGGACGAGCTGTATCGACAGAAATGTGCCAGATGAAAGTTCTGGAAGTGGCTAGGGCCAAGCATGCAACAAATTTTAAGGCAATTCAAGGGTGGTTGGTGAGGTGTTTTGCCCACAATAATTTAACCATAAGAATACGGACCCAGATCGCAAAGAGGCTACAAGACGCATACGAAGAAAAAGTTATAAACTTTTTAAAATAACTTCTTTAGTTCCTCGAAAAATGGGGTGCACGGTTTACACGATTGCATGCAGTACAGTAATTACGTGAGCTATGGCATGTCTGGAAGTGGCTAGGGCCAAGCATGCAACAAATTTTAAGGCAATTCAAGGGTGGTTGGTGAGGTGTTTTGCCCACAATAATTTAACCATAAGAATACGGACCCAGATCGCAAAGAGGCTACAAGACGCATACGAAGAAAAAGTTATAAACTTTTTAAAATAACTTCTTTAGTTCCTCGAAAAATGGGGTGCACGGTTTACACGATTGCATGCAGTACAGTAATTACGTGAGCTATGGCATGGCCAACATCAGCGGATGGATATTTTTTATGTTTTCAATAATAGTTTCAGCAGATCTGAGTACTTGGATGACATTGCTAAACATTGGAGGACAATATCAGAATATATCTTGAAGAAATATGATGAGGTGTGGACTGAATTCATGTAACTGAAGGCAGGGACTGGTGGTGGGCTCTTGTGAAAATAACGAGCCTTCAAAATTCCAAAAAGACAGGGCATTTTTTGAGCAGTTCAGTGACCATTAGCTTTCCAAGAAGGACTCTACTCAATGGAGTCAGTTTTCATGTGAGGCCATCTCGCAGTAGACCTCATTATCTGAACATTACAACACGAGTGTTATTGCTGCAAGTTCCTGATATTTCAAACATTTCTCATCACTATTTTCTTGAAGATTATTTCCTTTATTACAACGGGACAAATCTTACGATTCTTAGAAGAAAACAAAAGACAATAATACAGAGTCACCTCACCAATTATCAACTTATAAACAATTATGCAACACAATAATGATAATAAGTTAACAAGTTCTTAAGAAACAGTTGAATAAAATCACAGGACTCGTAAAGAAAACACTTCTTAGTGTTGGTAGTGCAGAGAATTAAAAAATAATTAAAAAAACACATAACGACAAAGATGAATATAAATCTTGTATAGCCCAAATCATGTGTAAACATTCGTCTGCAAACTCAATAAAGCAAAGTCTGTATCATGGACCATTTATGTATGTTACAAAGACATTCTGCCCGAAAGTGCAAAATATACTGTGACCATGCACAAGAAAGAGCAGCGTATCTCTCCTATGCACTCCGCACTCTCGACCTAGAATCCTTAACGTCAACAGACTTTTTAACCGATGTCAGACCCACATCAGATCGACAAGCAAACCGCCTTACCACAGCAACTCACCGAATTTCTGTCTGGTTTGTTAAAACAAGATTTGAATCTCTTTCTCATATAAAATTAAAGTTACAAACAAAGACAGCAAATACAGTTTTGGTTACGATTCTCAGTCTCACTGATTATTTGGATGTGTTTTTACAAATGAAGTTCTCTTCATCAACAAATGTACATTCCACTAGTACAGAAGTTAACGTAATAAATCTCTGTAAGTCTGTAGGAATTAGTCAACCTTAATTAATCCCCAAAAAAATAATTAATCTTTTATGGGTAATCTCAATGCATTGCAGTTCGAACGAACAATAAAACAACGCGACTGCCACGAAACAGTGGTTTTGTGCTCACGTCAGTGTGGGCATTAAGCATATTCACACTGGAGGAAGGGCCCACAGTGTAGCAGTTTTGTCTGCACTGGTGCTCAGAAATGAGAACTCTGTTGGGTGCCAGCGCCCAGAGATGACTTTATCCTGGTGTTGGGCTACTACGACACTCGGTAAAGGCATTGTCAGGTCACCTGAACAGAAGAAAAACATAATTAAACTATTCTTATTTTCAAGACAGGCACCTCTCGGATTTACGAACATTCGCTTTAACGAACGTCACAATTCATTCAAAATTTCTTAAAGTTACCAATAGATAAGAGTTCCTTATAAAACGAAATGCCAAACATATAGTGAACATAATTGTAAATAAATAAAATTTTTAAAAATGTATTTATTACAATAATTATCGGAAAATTATTATATGATAATTATACTGAACTGTTATTGGTTAATAAAACAAACCCAGCCAGTAAAGAAACTTTGGTTTACATGCCACGCCCCGTAGAATGTTTTCTCGTGGGAAAGAAATCGGTGATTCCCTCCTATTATATTAGAATCATCACTTGCTTGCGATGTAAACATTTAATGCTTTAAAATGACGTCTTGGAATGAAACTCGTTCGTAAACCAAGAGTTGCCTGTAACCCAAACTATAAGTAACAGTTCTGTATGATCTGTAATTTAGTTTGCCCAACGTATAGATCCTTTACGTAGGAACTGAAATCCGCAAGCACATTAATTTTCAAGAGTCAAAGATACAAGCACACCTTAATCTAATATTAAATTCTAAGTCATGATTCAAATATGTTTACTGAAAAATAACAATCTTTCACTTTTCATATACACTAATATGCCTCAGTGCAGTTTCTATATCAGTAGATCACTACAAAATAAACTAATCACAATGGACATTCACTAAGAGGCACGAATGATCTCCACCTACTCAAATATTGATATCACCGATACACATCACCTGTGTTCCTTAATTTGAAGGATTCTGCTTGGGCTGATCAGAAAGAAGCGTATGAGACATCGCCATTGTTATTATTATTGACACATGTTACAGAAATTACTAAAGCATATTTTGCTGTGAAGCATAATCACGACGGACGCTCTGTGCACCAAGGAGGTAAAGGCAAGGATAGCCATGGCCAAGGCAGCTTTCGTCAAGAAGAGGATACTTCTCACTAGCAAGTTGGGCTTGGAGATGAAGGAGAAACTAGTGAAGTGTTACGTATGG